TGGCCTCTAACTCAATACATAGGAAAAGAAGTCCATGAAGTTCTGATCCTCCTGCCTGCATGTCCCATGTGCTGGGGCCACGGCTAAACTTCACCACACCAAGCTTAGTCAATGCTGGGACTGAACCCAGGACCTCATATATGCAAGGCAAGTACTCTACCAACTGAGCTACAGTCCCAGCTCGTTTATGACTTTTTGTTTGTTTGATGTTTTGTTTTTGGTCTTGGGTATTTCTTGTTTTGTTTTGGCTTTTTTTTTTTTTTTTTTTTTTTTTTTTTTTTTTTTTTTTTTTTTTTTTGGTTCTTTTTTCCTGGCATTGTTTTGTATTGAGACAAGGTCTCTTGGTGTAGCCCTGGCCTGGAACTTACTATGTAGACCAGGCTGGCCCTGAACTCACTCGTGGTGATCATGCTGAGTGCTGGGATTCTAGGTGTGCAGCACCATGCCTGCAGATAGATTCTCGAGGTATCTTTGGGGTCAGAGCTGGGAGGTCTCGTGGGTCTGGGAGGAGGGGACTCTGTGGTCAGCTTGAAGATTACACGTGGTCAGACAGTGGGCTAGGTTGCCCCGAACTGTAGGATTCTCTACTCACGACAGCAGTCAGTGTCTGGGATCCCCAGTGAGCTGGCCCGGTGGGTAGATCTGATCCTCCGAGGGATGGCAGGGGGTGGCTGGACAGAAAGGTGGCTACGTCAGGGCGCAGGGCCTCTAACAGTCCAGCCCTGTCAGCTTCCCTTCCTCATGACATTTTCTTTCTACCATGTGCTTCCAGAGGGCTCTCTGGGCAGGAGGAAGAACCGTGCAAGGCCCTGAGGGTCCCATGTCCTCCTCTACCAAGGCCCTCACCTCAGGTTCCTCATCTTCAATCTCGCCAACAGGCGACCCCTTCCCAGGGTTCCTCATTTTGTCAAGAAGATTCAAGATCAGGCCCATGTTCAGCCCTGGCTGGCACACCAACTGATGCTGTAGAGGAGGCAGGGGTCAGAGGGCTGGCATGGCAGGGGAGGGTGGGGACCTGGGCCTGACGGGAGAGACTGCTGGGAGGAAGGTACCAGCTGAGGGAGCAAGAAGGGGAAGCTAGGAGCCTCAGGGGCCCAGAGATGCTGAGAAGTTTTAAGAGATTAGAAGAATTTAGGGTTCCCAAAAGGGGAGGGGAGGAATTCCAGGGTGTCCTAAAAACAACTAGGCTTAGTAGAGGCTCTTGGGCACAAGTCTGGAGCCCTTTGGGATTTGGTGTATTCCAGCAACTCAGACAAACTTGGGGAGATCTGGAGTAAAGCTGGACATGGTGGCTCAGACATGCCTGTAATCCCAGCCCTTGGAAGGTGGAGGCAGGAGGATCAGGAGTCCAAGGTCAGTCTTGGCTATACACCAAGTTGGAGGCTATCCTGGGCTACATAAGACCATAACAAAACAAATAAACGAAAAGAAAAAAGCACACACACACACACACACACACACACACACACACCACCACCACCACCACCACCACCAACAACAACAACAACAACAACAACCAAACATATAAGAAATATCGGGGTATCAATTTGATTTGAGTTTTGAGACAGGATCCCATGTAGCTCAGGATACCCTCAAACTCTCTATGTAACCAAAGATGGCCTTGAACTACCTCTACCTCCTTAGTGCTGAGACTGTAGGCTTGTGCCACTAGGCTTGGGTCTCCCAGTACAGTTTGAGGGTCCTGTGGGTAGAACCCTGGGAAATGCTGAGAGACTAGGGGTGAAGGGGCCACCAGGCTCCTGTGATCCATGGAAGACTTGGACAGTCCTGGGCTGAGGAGAAGGGTAGGGAGGAGTCCCTGAGGAGAGCTGGCTTACACTGAGCATCTTGGCAGCACCAGGGCGTTTCTTGGGGTTCTTAGTGAGGGTGACTTTGATAAAGTTGTGGAAGGCAGACGACCTTGGGAGGAAGAAGCCAGATCTGGAATGAGGGGATCAGAGCCCTTCTCCTCGCTCCAGCTACCCCTCCCCTGCTCTCCCTCAGGTCACCTCACTTACCATTTGCCTTTTTCCTTTAGCCGAGGAGGCTGGTAGCCACTCTTTGTCATGAGGAAGAGAACCCTAGAGCAGCAGGGAAGAAATGGGGTTCAGATCCATGGGGACAGGTCTCATAGCTTCAGGAGATCCCAAGTGGAAATCAAACAGGGGAGATGGCTCAGATGGTAAGAGCACTTGCTATGTAAGTCTGAGGATCTGAGTTCAAATCCCCAGGTCCCCTGTAAGAAGTGGGGCATGCCTGTGACTCTAGTATAGGGCTGGAGACAGGAGCCTAACTCCAAGACCAGAGAGAGCCTAGGACACCCAACAGCCTCCTCTGGCTTCTGACACACACACACACACACACACACACACACACACACACACTCAAATACACAAAAATAAAAAAAAATAATTTAATTTAATTTTGAAAAGCTAAACATTTGGGCCTGTGAGATGGCTCACTAGGTAAAAGCACACACTGCCAAGCCTGATGACCTGAGTTCAATTCCCGGGACACACAGAGTGGAAGCAGGGAATGTCCTTTGACCTCCACATGTGTGTAGATAAACAAACTGGGTGTGATTATAAGCACATAATCCCAGCGCTGGGAGGTGGCGATGGATGGAGGTCTGCGGCGGGGGCAGGGTGGCTCCATCTTCCAGTTTCAGGCCAGTAAGAGACCGTGTCAAAAAAAAACAAAAAAACAAAAACAAAAACCAGTGGCCAATGCCTGAAGAACAAGGCCAGAGGCTGTCCTCTGGCCTCCACCCGTGTGCACACACAGGAAGGAAATACAGTTCTGCTTCCAAATTCAATATGGCCACCCCCCCCCCTTTTTGTTGGTGCTTTAAGATTGGATTTTGTTATGCAGCTCGGGCCAGCCTTAAACTCATGACTCCCAGCCTCAGCTACCTGAGTGCTGGGATCACAGGGTGGCCATGCTTGGCTGTGAAGTCACTTTCTGGAGTGGGAGATTCGAGACAGGGTTTCTCTGTAGCTTTGGAGGATGTCTTGGAACTCTCTCAGTAGACTGAGCTGGTCTCAAACTCACAGAGATCCACCTGCTGCTGCGTCCCAAGTACTGGGATTAAAGGTGTGTGCCACCACCTCTGGGCCTGTGAAGTCACTTCTAAGAGAAGCTATTAATATTTTAGAAAATTTGAGGCTTCAGCCCATCTGCTAAGGCAGGAGGATCAAAATCCAAAGCCGGCCTGAGCTATCTAGTGTGTTTGAGGCCAGCCTGGGCTACATAGGGAGCTAGGGAGATATAGTCTCAACAACAACAAAGAAACAAATGATACTAGACATCCATAGGCTTGTGAGAGGCTGGGGCAAGAGCATCTACAGTGTAGGCTATCCTCGGCTACATAGAAAACTGGAGGCCAATCAGGGCTACACAGCAGACAATGTCTCTAAACATCCTGCCCCCCCCAAAAAAAATAAAGATGGGGACCACTGAGGAAACTGAGGAAAGGTTTCTGTGTTTGGGGAACCACAGGAGTCTCTTGAGGGACATCCGATCTAAGGTGAGGACATGAGCGGAAGGGTGGGCACGGTGCTGAGCCCAGGGGCATCCGCCACCCCAGCCTTTACCTGAGAGGGTGCACGTCAAAGAGGGGTGGTTGGAGCTCAGCCAGTTCAATGGCTGTGATGCCAAGAGACCAGATGTCACACAGCTCATTGTATCCACCCTTCATGTCCACAGCTGCCACCTCTGGAGCCATCCTGTGGGCAGAGATCCTCAGAGAGCAAGGAGGGGCCCAGGGGCAGGAGACAGGAAGGGTGAGGGGAAATGGGGGCACAGACAGAGCCAGGGGACAGGGGCACCAAGACAAAATGGCAGAAGGAGAAGGAAAAGGAAAGTGTGGGGGCACTTGGGGTCCCAGCACTCTGGAGGCTGAAGCAGGAAAGGTACCATGAGCTTGAGGCCAGCCTGGGCTACAGAGTGAGACACTGTCTCCAAAAGGGAGAGCGGGAGGCTGGGAGTATGGCTTAGTGAGACAGCGACGGTGTCAGAGCCTAGCTTCAGTTTGTAAGACAGCTTAAAGCCAAAGAGATCTACAGTCCAGACACACAAAAACAAAGACAGAGGGCCACAGGCTGAGGAAACACAGGAGTAGATAGACTTGGGGAGATAGGGAAAGAGATAAAA